AGAGATGTCAAATTGATTTTGAAGTGTACATTTTCTGGACTAAACTATGCTTAGATTTTTTGTTTATAAACAGCTTCAACATACCAGGATTTCATAAAAATCTTGATAATTTGTAAATCATAACCTGGCATTCAGGATGCATGACAATAATTTGAATTGAATTAGATTAATGGAATGTTTGGTTTGCATACGGCAACACGACACATGGGCAATCTGCCGAGGGAATGCCTTCTGAGAGGACTTTCCGTGGAAAACCGATCCCTATTTAGGTGTTAAAACTGTGAAGAAAGAACGGATAACGCCACTCAGCCAACCCACTAGCGAGGCACAAACCCACAACCAACTTTCGGCGGTTACATCCACTCAGCCAGTGGGGGAGACAAAATAAGGAATGCACAGACAACCTACCAACAGGGAGGACTATCAACAAGAAAATGGCCCCTATTTTAGTGTCTAAACAAAGAAAACCCAGAAATTTCTACACAGGCAAAGGCACAAACTTGTAAGATGCGAACTCCGAACCAGGGATTTGCCATCCTCTCCCCTCCGTACGAGCGAAAGAGTTCGGTTTTTTATCGTAAACCGGTATACTGCCCATTCACCATTCTCCACGTCTGTCGAGGCTCCGAACGTAGTCACTCACACGGGGGCAAGCCACCACACCTCGTAAAACTATACAGCATCGAGTACTCCGCAAACGGCCGAGAGGGCTACTCGAAGCCAGTCGGGCAACGCGGTTAAACACGCGACTCCCGATCGCGTGCAACCCGGCGGTAAATCGATTTCGGGAGCCACATCCGGCCGAGGGTCACGGGTAAAGGTAAGGTTCCTCCGACTTTTTTCTCCCGCGGGTACGGTCCACGGCACCGACGGGGTCTCGTTCGGAGCCGTAACCGCGACCGACACTTCTAAAGGGTAAAAAGTAAGGATAAACGGAGAAACCAAGCAGAGTTTCTGTATTGATTAACAGCTTTAACTTAACAGAATTTCAAGGAATATCTGTTAAGTTAAAGGTTAGTAATTGCCAATTTACCGTAGAGAAGTAATAAGGAACCCACGTTAACTGGCAAAGGAAGTGAACCAACGCAGAACTGATTCACTGCCGAGTCAAATGAATGATTTAATGAAGAAAATATCCAAAAATTCCCCATTAAACGAGCTAATTATAGCAATTTTAATAAGCAACGTTCGTTTGTAACTTTAATCCCTTTAAACTATTCAGGGATATTCCCTAAATCGGAAAATAACACGAAAATCTCCAATATTAAACGTTTAATACGTAATAATTTGATCGAAATTGATAAAAAAATCCAAGAACGCAATTAAGCCTAACAGCGTCTACTGACCGCCATTAAGCCGAATTGCGTATTTAAACCGTTAATTGTAATTAATTAGAACCGTTACTTACTTTTAATTACGTTTCTCTAATACAAATTAACATCTTAAACATCATTTGCACTAAAATATGCCTAAACAACTTTTAGAAATTACAAATTCACTACTCCCGATTTAACGGGGAAATACGACGTCATGCTGCCAAATGTTGGGCGGGAGAAATCGCTGGATAGTCGGAAATTTCCCTGAAAATTTCCCTCTCTCTCTCTCCTTCGGTGAAAATTCCCTTCCGGCCTAGCGTGTTTCGTCATTTTTTTCTTTTTACAGATTTTAATGCGTATTAATGAAATAACTTTAAACTTTTTTTTTTATTATAACAATATATTCCTTGTACAGACTTGACTTACAAGTGTCCCAACTTATGAGTTTTTTGAGAACAAGCAGTCTCTCAGCTGATTTTTCGCTTTGAGTTGAGTTGAGAGCTCTGGTTACAAACAAGCTTCAGATACCCCACAACTAGTTGGCGCAGCAAATGCCACAGCAAACCATAAATTAAGAAAAAGAAGTTGGAAAACTGCCATAATTTTGTCATTTTCATTACTCTTCCAATGTCTGACAGGCTAGCTTATGGAAAAACATGTGATCAAGTGATGTAGATATTAGTTCACTCCCATGTTGTGTGCAGTGCCACTGTCTCTCATTTCTTGAATTTTCCATCTTTTCTTTCTTTATCTATGCAGTGAACACTGCAACATCTGCGAAACCAGTTTATTGCAGTACATTCTATTGTGTTTTATACAATATTAGCAGAATTTAAATTAACAAGTCACTGTAATTAAACTTCTTTGTTCAATATTTTTAGAGGTAAGATCTGATGAATATATTATAACATAGTAAAAAAATTATTTCTAGCAGATTCAAACAGTTAAATTCAAATATTTTTACTTTTTTAAAAGAAGTGAGTAATAAGAAATTGTTTTGATTTTTTTTTTTTTTTTTGATGATATGAAACTGTGCTTTACAATTTGTTTATGCTTCTAACACAATAAAGTNACAATTTGCAAAATAGGGAAACAGCCAATATCTTTTTAATTAGAGTTAGGACATTAAATAAAAAATAAATAAAACAAGTATTTAAGGTAACAAAAAAATGTAATTTAACAAATTCAATAAATTATAATTAGTCAGATGGATGAGCCTGTCGATCACCGCACATTTTCTCAAACCTTGAAATCAAACTGGACATAGCCACCCTCATTTCCTTCTCCACATTGATTTTTGTGCAATACTTAGTTTTTATCACAGTGACAAACTCAGCTTCGCATGAATAAGAAGTCACAAATGAAAGTAAGATTCTCTGAGCTGTACCACTCAGAAGGGATATTTATCTTTTACTGATATCCAAAGTTCAGTTAATTCCATGCTGCTAATTTTGTTTTCAACGTACTGTCGCAAGACAACTCAACAAGATTCTCTTCTTATGCAGCAGTAAATTCAGATGGGCACTGGCATTAAATGAATCTTGAATCCATGCAAATTTACTGATATTATCATTTTGAAAATATTTCTCAAACTAGGTGATAAGCTGTGATAAATATTCTTCAAAAATAGATTTCATACATAGGGAGAAATCAACTCCATTGAAGGTCAAAAACTGTTGCAACAAGGAAAAAACAATCTTTTCGTCAGTCTTCAATTTTTCTTTTCCATAGTTTTAATATTTTTATAAAAGCTGAAATTTTCTCAATCAACTTTAAAAGGTGCATGTTGCTTTCCTGCAGAGAGAGATCCAGAGTGTTCGGCTTTTCAAAAACATCACATAACTATGCTAGTTTTACCAAAAAATCTTCAATCATAAAATTTTCAGCATACTTGTGGTCTTCCTCTTTAAAAAAAATATAAATTTCCTGTCACAGTTCAAACATATGAGACAAAGCATTACCTTGAGAGAGCCATCACTCTCTTATGATAGTGTTTTGTACTTTCTCGAAGTACAACAAAGACATGTGCTCAGATCACACATGCTCACATAGCTTTTTGAAAATCTTGCTTCAATGGCCATTTTTATAAAGTTTACTACATGTACTACATATTCTGGTTCAATGCAGGACTCAGATATTTTGATGCGAGTGCTGCTCTGTAAATAATGCAATGGGTCCACAGTGCATCAGGGTCTTTGCTTCAAAAAAGTGCTTGCAATCCTCCATAACATCCAGACATAGAACAATCACCATCAGTAAAGATACCAATGCGTTTGGTCCACTCCAAATTGTTTTTGGAAATAAAAATATCAAGGATCTTGAACAAGTTGTGAGCCTTAGCACTAGGAGTGATACTTTTATGGAAGAGAAAGTCTTCTACAATGTTATTATCTATAAACTGTACATAGCAAATCAAGTGAGCATCATTATTATTATCTATCTCTTCATCAAGCTGCAACCCAAATTTTCTTCCTTCTATTTTTTCAATAACTGATAACTGGAGTCCTTTGCTATGTGCTGTATTCTGTGACTGATAGTGTTATTGGACAAAAGCACTTTTAAAAGCTGCTACCCAGCAGACCCACCAATCATAATATTCACCAATATGGTGAACATTATGCTACAGCAACCAGTAGAATGAGTTTTTCTGTACTGGTATGAGGCTTTTTACATTTTGCAATTCTATATGCCACATTTATTACTAAGTTAATGATTTGCATCAGGTCTGCTAGATGTTTCATCTTATCACATTAAATTGAAAGTTGAAGTAAAATTATGAAAATTTTATATTTCGTGGAACCGCAGTGCACACTTTGGGAACTGCTGACAAAGTCATATTACAAGCCTGATAATTCAGAAGTTCATTTAATTAACATTAACTATAAATTGGGTTTTTTAGTTTATATATATATATATATATATTTGTTATTACNCCACACCTCGTAAAACTATACAGCATCGAGTACTCCGCAAACGGCCGAGAGGGCTACTCGAAGCCAGTCGGGCAACGCGGTTAAACACGCGACTCCCGATCGCGTGCAACCCGGCGGTAAATCGATTTCGGGAGCCACATCCGGCCGAGGGTCACGGGTAAAGGTAAGGTTCCTCCGACTTTTTTCTCCCGCGGGTACGGTCCACGGCACCGACGGGGTCTCGTTCGGAGCCGTAACCGCGACCGACACTTCTAAAGGGTAAAAAGTAAGGATAAACGGAGAAACCAAGCAGAGTTTCTGTATTGATTAACAGCTTTAACTTAACAGAATTTCAAGGAATATCTGTTAAGTTAAAGGTTAGTAATTGCCAATTTACCGTAGAGAAGTAATAAGGAACCCACGTTAACTGGCAAAGGAAGTGAACCAACGCAGAACTGATTCACTGCCGAGTCAAATGAATGATTTAATGAAGAAAATATCCAAAAATTCCCCATTAAACGAGCTAATTATAGCAATTTTAATAAGCAACGTTCGTTTGTAACTTTAATCCCTTTAAACTATTCAGGGATATTCCCTAAATCGGAAAATAACACGAAAATTTCCAATATTAAACGTTTAATACGTAATAATTTGATCGAAATTGATAAAAAAATCCAAGAACGCAATTAAGCCTAACAGCGTCTACTGACCGCCATTAAGCCGAATTGCGTATTTAAACCGTTAATTGTAATTAATTAGAACCGTTACTTACTTTTAATTACGTTTCTCTAATACAAATTAACATCTTAAACATCATTTGCACTAAAATATGCCTAAACAACTTTTAGAAATTACAAATTCACTACTCCCGATTTAACGGGGAAATACGACGTCATGCTGCCAAATGTTGGGCGGGAGAAATCGCTGGATAGTCGGAAATTTCCCTGAAAATTTCCCTCTCTCTCTCTCCTTCGGTGAAAATTCCCTTCCGGCCTAGCGTGTTTCGTCATTTTTTTCTTTTTACAGATTTTAATGCGTATTAATGAAATAACTTTAAACTTTTTTTTTTATTATAACAATATATTCCTTGTACAGACTTGACTTACAAGTGTCCCAACTTATGAGTTTTTTGAGAACAAGCAGTCTCTCAGCTGATTTTTCGCTTTGAGTTGAGTTGAGAGCTCTGGTTACAAACAAGCTTCAGATACCCCACAACTAGTTGGCGCAGCAAATGCCACAGCAAACCATAAATTAAGAAAAAGAAGTTGGAAAACTGCCATAATTTTGTCATTTTCATTACTCTTCCAATGTCTGACAGGCTAGCTTATGGAAAAACATGTGATCAAGTGATGTAGATATTAGTTCACTCCCATGTTGTGTGCAGTGCCACTGTCTCTCATTTCTTGAATTTTCCATCTTTTCTTTCTTTATCTATGCAGTGAACACTGCAACATCTGCGAAACCAGTTTATTGCAGTACATTCTATTGTGTTTTATACAATATTAGCAGAATTTAAATTAACAAGTCACTGTAATTAAACTTCTTTGTTCAATATTTTTAGAGGTAAGATCTGATGAATATATTATAACATAGTAAAAAAATTATTTCTAGCAGATTCAAACAGTTAAATTCAAATATTTTTACTTTTTTAAAAGAAGTGAGTAATAAGAAATTGTTTTGATTTTTTTTTTTTTTTTTGATGATATGAAACTGTGCTTTACAATTTGTTTATGCTTCTAACACAATAAAGTGCTATAAATTAAGACACTCATAAATTATAAATTATAAGACACTCATATAAATTAAGGGTTTTCTCATCTTTATTTTCAATAAAGATGAGAAAACCCGCCAAGTGTCTTAATTTATAGCACTTTATTGTGTTAGAAGCATAAAGAAATTGTTTTCTTATTGCAAAATGTTGTTGGCTAAGCCAGTTATTGAAATATTCTTTAATTTTAAAACTGTAAGTGTTAAGTAATTTGGCTAGAGGTAGATGATTAAGCCACCATCTCATGTTAAACTAATAATTTAAAATATTCTGGAAGAAAAGATTAGCCTGAAGCAGGATCCAAACCCACAACTCCTGAATATTGTGCAGATGTGTTTCTTCCCAGTTACACTACCTGAACCTCCACTCAATCTTTACTTCCAAACCAATTAATTAATCTCAATATAACCATATATGTTCTCAACCAACTGTAATATTGTTAGTTGAAAGTAGTTGAACAAATATAAAGATGACTGAACTTAGTTGTTCATTAAATAACAACTCGAACAGACAGGCACACAACACAATATGGACAAATTAAAATTTTATTTTAATTTGTATTAAAATAAAATTTTGAATGTCTGTATTAAATATACCTGAAAATGTCTTCTGAATGCTGGTTTAAGTGTTTTGTCTATTTTTATGTAATATATTCCAGTATTGAAGAGTAATTGACTAAATCATCATTTGTGACATCATCAAACATTTCTACTTTATTTTCCTGTAAAGATGTTTCTTTACTCTCACTCTCATTAAATTCTAATGAGTATTTTACTTCATTCTTGCCATGAAGATGTTTGTAACCAAAGAACATTACTAAGGCCTATGGTGTTCCCACCTAAATCCACAATTGGGCCAAAACTTTTTTGACAGGTCAGCATGGCCCCAAACTATCCCACACCAAATTTCAGCTTTGAACTCACATGCTACAGTACAAAAATTCAAAAACTTTCTGCAGTTTTTCCTGAATATCAAAGAAAAGCCTCTGCTAATTTTGATTAATTTGTATTTAGCACAGTGATTCTCAATTTATTTTAACACAGACAACACTATAAAACTATAGAATCTACTGAAGAACCTGTCCATATTTCATCTCTATCAAACTACTGACTACACCCTTTACACATGTTTCTGACACTCTAATCAAAAATATATATATTTCATTAATAGATAAAAAAAAGTAAATCAAAAACAGAATAAAATGCCAGTAATTATTGTCTTTTAAAGCTAAAGTAAAGCAGCATTGGATTATCTGCATAGAATTACAGTAGACCCCTCTGTAACACGGATTCCTATAATTACGATTCCTGTAAAACGGCGAAAAAATTGCGATGGTATCCGTACAAACCTAGTAAAAAAAACTCCTATAATTCAGTAAAACGTCACTGGACAGCCGAACTACTTTCCGCCGTCCAGTGCCACGCTACAAAGAATTTAGGCGGGTAAATTAAGTTTACTATCGTCTGTACAGTATTATATATAAATTAGGTACTGTACATATAATTATATATTAATTATATATAAATTAGGTACTGTATATATAATTATATATTAACTTAATTTATTGTAACTTTATTATAATTAAATATATATTTTTCGCCGTCTAGCGTCACGCTACGGCGAGTTAGGCGACCTATCGTCTGTTTAGTACTGTAATTTTATACATTTCTTGTGAAAGAAACATTTCTTATTTAACGGCCATAAAAATTATTTATATTAATGATGTCTCCAANAATCATCAACATATATTACATTACATTTCTACTTCAGATATACTAATAATACATTCTAATAATACTAATATATCCTAAAAATAGCAGATTGTCATTGGCAACGGCAAAAGAGTGGAAACATCATTAGCACTTATTCAAAAAAAGTCCATTGTTCGTCTCACGTAACTGCCGAACGGAAAGTCCGTTGTTCGCAGCAAGTCCGTTGCTCGAGTCACGTAACGGTCAAACAGAAAGTCCGTTATTCGCAGCATCCGTTATACGAGGCACCACTGTATATACTTTCCGCCGTCCAGCGCTACACTACGGACAGTTTAGGCGAGTAAGTTGTTTACTATCGTCTGTACAGTATGTAAATTAGGTACTGTAAGTCTAATACAGCACTAATACAGTCTAATTTTATACATTTCTTGTGAAAGAAACATTTCTTATACAATGGCCATAAAAATTATTTACGAGGTCTGTTCAAAAAGTATCGGACCTTTGGATGGCAAAAATAAATTTATTGATTTTGAGGTACAAAACCTTAATCCCCTTCAAAATAGTCTCCTTGGTAGTGTATACACTTCTCCCTGGTAGTGTATACAGTGTTCCTGCCATTGCTGGAAACACTGCTAAAATGCATTTTTTGGAATGGCCATCAGCTGGTCTGTCGCATTCCGCACGATGTCTTTTCTCGACTAAATTCGGGTTCCTTTTAGCGGCATTTTCAGCTTGGGAAATAGCCAAAGGTCACACGGAGCCATGTGGGGAGAGTACGGAGCGTGACGAACCACAGGAGTGTTGTGTTTGGCGACGAAAGCCCGAATCAGATGCGCAGAATGGGCGGATGCATTATCATGATGGAGCTGCCAAGTTTTGATCGACCACAGATCCGGTCGTTTGCGTCACACAGCATCGGAAAGACGACGAAGGACCTCCTGGTAGTACTTCTTTGCGATGGTTTGGCCTTGTGGTGCGTACTCACAATACACCACCCCACGATACACCCAGTCGAAAAAACTGTCAACATGACCTTGATATTGCTGCGGGCCTGCCGTGTTTTTTTTGGACTCAAGGATCGTCCCCGAAAGACTGCTGAATCTTGCGAATGGTTTATGCTTGGTATCACCAAGGTTTTTGGCAAAATTTGATGTAATATCGCTGCTCACGTCGTTCAGTCATTTTCCAACTTAGTGGAATCCGACAAGAGCTCGCTACATGACCTCACTCATAGGCCGACTGCCAACAACTGACGTTTCCTGCAGGCGGGAAAAAATTCAGGGCTGTGCATGACTGTCCCCTCCACAACTCCACCGAAAGAGGCCTCCCACGCATCATTGGTTTACGTGGAAAAAATAAAAGTCCGATACTTTTTGAACAGACCTCGTATATTAATGATGTCTCCAAAGTTCAATGAAGTTTTCGCAGAAAAATAACTTATCAGAAATCGCCCGCCATTTGGTGCACTGCTCCGCGATGAAAACCAGCTTGAGCAATGGCGATGTCGAACGGTGCACACTTGGTAAGTAATCCTACAATTTTTTGTTTATGGCATTGTTTATACGGATTATTCCCAAAAAAATTATACATATTTTAGAAATGTTGAGTGAAATTAGTCTAGAATCGATTAATTTTATGGAAGAAAACCTTTCAAACAGCCATAGTCCATAAACTTCACACGTGGTGGGCTGTGATTGGCAAGGACTCGTACAAAATTGATTCATAAAGAATGGAACGTATCTACCGTGTTATAGGGGGGTCGACTGTAGTGACCATATGATTAATGTTAAATGTCTTACTTACAAATTTAGGACTCATCTATAAATTCTTTCCATCATCATGCCTTTGCATTGTACAGAGCCCTTTACATCCTCTTGAAGGAACCTCAAGGTTCTTTAGTACCTACTTTGAGAAACACTGATTTAGCACAAATAATAATTTTATTTTACAAAATTTATTTGTTTAAAAGTTTATCATCTTGATTTTTAATTTCAAAATACAGTACATAGATAAATAAATTACCTATTGAAATTAACTGAAATAATGTATTTGTTTTTGAGTTAATTGTAACCTAAAATTTAGGAATTTAGCCAAAACTTTAATGTATATACAAGTATTTATCTATATTTTCAATTGAAAATAGAGTATTTGGAGAAGCAAGAAGCAGTCTTTCAGATATTGATAAATATAACATATACGCTAACAAATTAAATATACAGATTAAGTAAATGCATATCATCAAAGATATATATATATTTATCAATAATAATATTTAAACAAAGAGTAAAACTGTATTGATTATGTTTTTTCTAAAACATTATTAAGAAAATTAACATTTTAATTCTGTTACTTTTTAACATTATATTAACACATTATTTTAAGCAAAAATTTAGCAGAATAATTATTTAACCAAAAATAGTAATTTAATATTTAATACTACCATTTTTGGCTAAATCAATT